CTCATTCAACCATAGCAGCATACGGGCTGCAGAGCTCAGAAATCAGTTCGTACGTGCTGAATTGCCCATTAATGAAAAACCTTATCGAATCCCCGTGTTATGAGGCCCATTAAGCAGCCAGTTTCAGGAGATATACGAGTTGGAGAAGCTGCTTTTTGCATTTCGGAGCAAAGTCATAGCAAGGGGTTGGCCGTGGGCGAAATAAAAGAGGGTACTCGACACAATCATTTGATGAATCTGCTGTTTTGACGCGCTGCTCGTCGATGCATTGAAGGGGACGCCGCCGTAGGGGGATCTTAGTGAATTTCGAGCTCTTTTACTCAGGTTTCGAGCCCTTTATTTCGACCATGGAAATTTCGCCTTCTCCACTGCCTTGCCATCTTCATTAGCCCTTTTAACAAGGCTCATTTACCACGGAATGATCCTTTCAGTACGGTATAAATGCATGAGGGCAGTGTTTGGGATAAACACTATATGGAAGTGAGGAAGCCACACATGGTGGAAGTGTGAGCATCTGGTTGCGGAAAACGATTTTCTAGTGGAATATTTATAAGCTATTAGTCAAGCAGCCAAGCAACGAAAAGTTCATTGGAATGCTTCTTCATACTCAACGATCTGTCCGTAGCTTTCTGAAGCAGCTGATTCAACTATCGATCGTCCCTGTCCCGTCTCACCTGAAGCATGCACGTACTTCTTCTCTACATATTTGCGATTCATTCCACCATTGGAATCTACAGTAATGTCTGCCTCTAATACACTGTATATTTATTCCCCATTGGAATATACAGTCATGTCTGTGCTATAATCCGCGGGTTTTCGCAATTTCAATTTTGGTTTTTTTTTTACTAAAAGCTACCCTCCACCTTTATTCAATTTTTGACTCACGATCAACACCAAATCACTGCCCTTACTGCTTGTATTTGCTTTTTCTCGAATTAGTTTTTTGTACATCGCAAAGATGCAGGAAACTAGTCCAAAATTAGCCAGTTGCTTTTCAACCGCAACTATGAGATCTTTCAGCCAGATGGCTTTCATGAGGAAACTGCCCTAAACCCCAGAATCCATTCAGGGTAGCTTCCAGCAGTTATCCACGTGAAATGCAAAACTACGACATTCGATATATTTGTTGATGGCACGGACGAGAACAGATGAAGTGATCGTGGAGTTTAGGCCTCAAAACTGTCAACCTTGTTGCCCGCTTGTTCATCTCTTTTCTCATAAAAGGGCCACGTTCATAAGAACTATGACTAAGTTATCATTTCCAATTCTGACGACGGTAATAGTTTATTTCCTGGCTTTTTAGAAGATACTTCATGTCTTCTATAATATGACCCCTAATCACAGACGCCTGCAAAACAAAAAATAACACTAAAAGTGTTATTTTTTGTTTTGCGGCGAAGTTCTTTTTTTTTCTGGTCTGATGAATTTTTCCAAAATCTATTGAATAAAAAAAATTACGACAATCCTTTTCTGATGTTCCTCCACCGTATCAGAGTACTGTAAGGGTCATGCTGATGACTTGTCAGTTATCAATATAGGAAGACACGATAAGTAAGACAGAGCACAAGAGTGCCGAATTCCAAGGCTCCCTGCAACTTCTTATGACTGGGGATAATTTGTGTTTCAATATGAGCATTTATCTTGTCTCAGGATTCTCTACTAGTATTCCCGAGACTACAATCAGCATTGGTATATACGTCTTTCTTCAATGTCTAAGGTTAATATAGTTTTGAAAGATTGACAGTAGACTTTCCAGGCATGGACATTGCGTCGCGGGTGGTCTCCGCCATGTCACGGGTGGCCAATGAGACCCCTGAAAAGATAAAACCTGCAAAAGTTGGAATGGTTGTCGATGTGTCTGACGCAAAGTTTATTGGAGGACTTATACCGTGTAAGTAGACTGAAGTCGGCAATTACGGTAGTAATACTTCTCGATACCTGTTCTGCAATGTATGGGTAACGATGGGGAATTCTGCCACAATTACCGATTATATAGAGGAGTAACAAAGTTGAAGGTTTCTCTTCTCATAGATGTTTTGGATAGACGAATTTTTCCAAGCTTCCACCAAAACTGGTTTTCTTACCTATGCTTATGTGAATGACCTTTTGTATTTCAAAGGAAATCACGCATTATGCATACCGATGGCATTTTAAAAAGTGAGCCCTGTAATTCGCCTACACATGAGGAAACAACTGATTATACATCGAAAAAAAGCATTGTTCCATATGGTAACATTGCTTTGGAACTCACAGGACCACATTGGCTTTAAAACCTTTGTTGGGCAAACTCGGACCATAAGGGGCGTAGTTTATCCGGCCAAAGAATTCGAGTTCCTTTTGCTACTGCTTTATGTGAGACAGTTTTGTTGTGTTTTGAATGAACTTGGAAGGGAGACAGTGCTGGACGTTTCACTAAACAAGCTTGTTCATTCAAAATGGAAACCTGAAATCAAAATGTTAGTGAATGTATATTGTGTTAATGTGTTTCTAGAGCTTATTTCTGAATATACTTTCGTAGTCCACTGATTAAAAGTTTTCAGCGCTGGTGGAAAAACAACTGTATCCATATTCTCGACCTGAGTTCCTTTACTTCTCCGAGGATGAAATTCTGTTATCAGCTGATCAATCTGTTCGCCCTGTTCTCTGTCCGAAGTATCCCTCAAAAATGCCTTTATACGCTGGTTATGCTGAAGTTATCAATGCAGGTACTTATATGTTATTGGCGAATTGTATGGACAGATGTCATGGGAAGAGCCCCGTTCCAATCAACATACCTTTTTATGGCCCGCACTGTTGCATTACCTGCTACTAGGAGCTAACCTTGTGAAGTTTGAAGGAACTTATTTCTCCATTTGCAGCCTAGAAATAGTTTCTATTCATATATCGACCATTCATGACAAGATTTGGAGTCGTTGCTCAAAGGATTACAAGTGAAAGAGGGGAATTATGGAGTGAAAATTGTAATTATACGTTCCGCATTCGACTTCCTCTAAGAATTTTAGAGGAGTTTGGGTGTGTACGTGCCCTCTACAATAACTTGAGGTGGCCAAATGAAGTATAAGTCATTGCTTTTATCCTCCCACATAAGTGCGGAACCAACTAGTCGAACTCGGAAGTATGGGAGGCCTAGTTGGCTTGGACGAGTAACAATCCGGTTTCTACACAATCCCAGACCATGCGTAGGATAAAACAACGTGGGCACTTCACCATTTGCGCTCTGAAGCAATGGTAATCTGACAACCCATACTGTTCAGGTAAAACAGTTCAAAATGAAGACCAAGCATCAGCACGAACATTGACGCTAGTCCAACAAGGTCATGACGCAGAAGAAGCCAAGGAACTCGACCATAGTCAGAATCCGTATGTTTTGTTTAGTTTTTCTCTCATTTCGTGAGGTTATTAGGTTTGAGAGCATTCCTGTATTGCTTCTAGTTGTAAAAGTGGCGCTTCTAAATTTTTCTTAAATCTTTGAAGTAGAGTGTAACCAATAAGACTTCGAAGCAAGATATTCGAGCTCACTACTAAAATGTCTAAGATAATCTCGAAAAAGTCATGAAGTGATATCGAATCCTTAGCTTTAGGTCAACAGTTGTCAAAGCTTCTTCGAAAGATGATGACGAGCTCGTATCCCCAAACGGGGGTAGTACGGTGAGTACATACCAAATTGGTGGTTTTTAATGTGATTGGTCCAAAGACGTTTTTCTTCTTATTAGGTGATTCTTTGATGCGGTCCTTTCTACTAGATGTCGTACGCTTTCAGTCATGTACATCCTCTACTGGGATTCGAGCGGAGGCCGCGCTATTTGCCATATTCGATGGCCATGCAGGCTCTGGAGCAGCACTCGTAGCTAGTCGATGCTTACATGAGCACATAAAGGTCAGATTGTTACTGTACGTCGGTAGGGTCACAACTTATCAATAACTAGTAAAGAAGCATTTGTTCGTTTTTTATTTGTATCTATTTTTCAGCGCTTCTCTATGAGTTTTTTTTTTNTTTTTTTTTGAAAGAAGGTGGTTGATTTTTTCAATGAAGTTTTTGGCTTGTCTCACTTCAACTAGATTCTCAAGCTGTCTGTACCAAACTCCGCCCACGATCGCTATTTTCAGTCTCGATTGGGAGTAGTATTGGAATCGATTATTCAGCTGGATAGGAACGAAACTCTCTTGTCAAGCAGAGCACGTTCGGATTCATCCTATAGTATCAGTAAGGTACAGAAATGTACTCGTTGTGGGAGACTTTAGGTGATCGTTTTTGTTGTAGATGGATTCGGTGTCGATTCGATGTGATGAACTGGTTGTAGGAGCTTTAGAAGCGGCATTTGTTGACATGGTTAGTAACATTTTTGTTCACATTTCTAATTCATCAGCAGAACCGTTTTCATCAGAAAATTAGCTTTCTATTAGGTTAATGATTGCTAAATAATTAAATCATCTGATTTTCTTTCGTGTTTAATACATTTTTATCGTATTAGTCAGAAAAATAGATGGGCTCAGAGCCCATTGAGTTATGGCGCTTTTAGCTCGTCGGATTGCCGGGGTTCACTATTATGAAAGTAATTAAAATTTGATAGAATGTAAAGCACTGTCTGTCTTCCCTTCCTAACTTTCAGTTGTTTTCGTAATTCTCAGTGTTTTCCTCCNGGATTCTTTTCAAGTACAAAGGTTTTGCGGGCTGGATGAGTTTCGCTCTTTAGTAAGACCGGTACTGCGAGAATTTCCCATTCTTCCGAAATCTTAGACCGGTAATGTACAAGAGAATTGAAAAGTAGCTGGCGTTTATTTTTGCTCCTGGAAGAATTGAACGGTGGTTGATCTGGAACTCCACTAAGTTCCGAATCGGATCCATGGATTAAGCGTACGGTAGTCGCTTTACTCGAGGGCACACTTCATGGTAATTTTGAGATGCCTATTTTGTATTACACCCTTGATATCCCTCTTGGCCCTTTTTTCGTCCGGCAGCCCACGCATATCATGCTTAGGCTTCATCCTAGGGTGTGTTGGTGGTTCAGTGGTTTTCTTATAACTCCGATGGTAACGGAGTAAAAATACAAGTAATGTAATAAGTGCGGACGTTACCGCAATGAAAACGTAGAATAATAGTAAATAATACTTTATCTAACAACACAACCTACGTCTTGCCCTGGATGTTGTTTGAGGAAGAAGTGAGGGACCTACTTATCTCGGGGCCGCTTGACCCCGCACCGTTTAGGGGCGTGGGTTAAGCTAGAGTGAGTCGTCTCAGACAGTGAGACGACGAGAGGTAGTTAAGGTGAGGTGATCGTCGTCTTGGACGACGATATAGGGGGTAACTCGGAGACCGCTTTTATCGTGAACCCTGCCTTTCAATACTCTACCTGCCTCCTTTTTTTTACTAATTCCAATAATCCTTTCTAGCTAACGCTTATTATGAATACGCACAATTTCAGTTGAACATAACATAGGAGCATGTTATGCATGAGGTTTAACCGAAATCGTGGTTGGAATCCAGTGATAATAGGTTTTTTCCAGGCATATCAGAACCCTGAACTCATAGGAAACTGTTTCTCTCGTCTCGAATACTCTAGAACATTGTCGAGGAAAGATTTAAAGACGAAAGTCTTGTTCAGGTACGATCTCCATTTCAGGTACAGGCTTCTCTCACATCTTTCTAGACAATTTCAGGGATTGGTTCATGGACGGCTGGGCAGCGAAAACGGTCAAAGAATGTGATCTGAAACCACCATTAATAAGCGATTGCACCCGAAAGGTAGGCACGTTCCGGACCTCATCTCCTGAGTAGCTCAGGATTTTGAAATTAAGTGCTGAGATATTTTAAAGCTACAGGTAGTTATCTTAATTTTTTCCAGAGACGCCTTCTGAACACAATCGGGGTATCACGAGGATTTGGTGATCATCATCTATTCACTGTTGATGACCATTTGCCAATTAAACCATTTCTTTCGTCAGTCCCAGAGGTGAGTCGTTTCGGAAGCTCAGACTGTGGGCACGAGGAATCATTCGCATAATATGTAGTCAATTGCAATCTACGAAGAGTCCAGAAAGGGCTTACTAAAGCTCTTTTTTTCTCAAAGTGGGAGACGGTAGTTCCGGAGAGGTTGCTGAGGGGGAGACAACTAACTAAAGCAACTGCAGCAGGATAAGTAACTAGGGATCGTTGCTCGTTATGAACGGTTCGGAACTACCGCTGTGCAGCTTTATTCTAAAGATTCTTAAAAAAGAACGTTCTAGGTGCGGGTATTCGATCTACGGAATCTTGACGTTTTGTCAGATAAGGATATCCTTATAGTAGCGTCAGATGGTCTATGGGATGTACTGAGTAACGAAGATGCTGGCTTGATTGTACGCTCTTCTTTATCGGCTACGGAACAAAGTGAACAATCACGGTGAGTTTACCCGTCAGACCATAGTCACTCGCCTACAACTTTAGCTAGCTGCTGGAGTTGCGTTTATATCCGGCGAACAAGAAGTCGTAATTCTTGTCTCCCTTACAATTAGCGGGATACTGCACACGTCAGAGGAGCAGGTGGCAGAGGTAGCAAACATAGGTGCCGACGATTGGAAATTCTGCCGCATTCAATACGGCTGGGATGTACCACCGAAGTAGAAGAATTTCTGACCTTTTGCGCTATCACATCTGTAAAAGCTGCGAGAGCATCGTTTTCCGTGACGAAGCGAGGAAAAATTGGGTTTGTGACGTTAGTGGCCTCTAAAGAGCGTTGTAATACAAAAGTGTACTCCCGACGATGATTTCTTCTTAACAGAGTACCTCGAGTGATGGCTAGATATTTCCATGGCTTTACAGATATACCATGGCCGCTCAAGAATTAGCAATCGCTGCGCGAGGCTATCCGAGCGGAAACAACGGACACCGATGGACGATGAACAGTGGAGGAAGTGCATCTACCGATGACATTACTGTGAGTAAACTCCTTTCACTCATACATGACAGTAGCCCAGGGTAATTCACTGCCCACCTTGATCACCTGGAGTTCTCATTTCAAATGCGGAGATGTAGAAAAAATATTTTTGCTCAAAGAAATGGCCTAAGTTTAAATTTCAACAGTAAGGACTTGAATTCTATCGGTTGTTTTGAAAGCTTCAATTATACAGCCCAGTTTTCTGTGCCCCCTAGTTTTCTATTTGTGTTCCACTCCTGCCGGCCTCATCACCGATTCCCCTTTGTCGGCACGTTTGTGAAAGCAAATGAAAATACCTCCCAATTACCTGGCTCTTCAAAAAAANGCCGGCCGGCACGCGCGCCGGCACGCCGGCACGCCGGCGGACTATGAAAGCAGCCATTTGTACGACTCCGACGCCAATTTTCGGGCACAAACTTGATGTAGAGTAGTTTAGTAGGGTCAGATGATCCTTCTAATCTACTCTACTTCAAATTTGGGCCCCAATGACAAACGCACCTACGAAGTGGGATGAAATCAAGATTGTGGTGGTCTCTTCTCTACAAATTGAAATACGAAGCCCTACAAAGATTTCCTTCCGATCTGAGTACCATGAGTGATGGCTACTTTCCCAGAAGTCCCTCGATAACCGGTGGTTTTGCAGATATACCATGGCCGCTCAAGAATTAGCAATTGCTGCGCGAGGCTATCCGAGTGGAAACAACGGACATCGATGGACGATGAACAGTGGAGGAAGTGCATCCACCGATGACATTACTGTGAGTAAATTCCTTCCACTCATTCATGGCAGCAGGCCGGGGTGATTCACTGCCCACCTTGGTCACCTGGAGATCTCATTTCCAATGCGGAGGTGTAGAAAAAATATTTTTGTTCAACGAAATGGCCTAAGCTCTAGTTTTAATAAGGACTCGGATTCTATCGGATGTTTTAGAAGTTTCAATTACAATTATAGAGCCCAGTTTTCTGTGCTCCCTGGTTTTCTATTTGTGTTCCACTCCCGGCCACATCGCCAATTCCCCTTTGTCGGCATTTACTTTTTGAAAGTAAATGGAAATACCTCCCAGTTACCTGGCTCTTCAAAAAACTTTTTTAGGTATTCGTTATTCCTTTGAAATATTGCGTTGCTCCGCCTCCAGAAGATGATGACGACGATGAAATGATAAGTCTTTGTGCCGAAGATTAAACAACGAAAAGGTTTATATTTGTAGTGTAACAGATGTATGTATGTAGCTCACTTTCCTAGTCCATGGACTAACTATACATTCTTCCGCGATCTCATTGCTGCTGGTCATTTCACTGTGACAACAACACTTTACACTTTGAAAGTTTAACTTTTCTTTTCAGAAATACTTTGCGAAATAAATAAATTAATAACTACTCCTAAATAATATCACAGTCATTTGAACATCCATGCAATTACCCTGATACAAGTACACAACGCTATACATAATACATAATTGATTTCAATGAAAAGTGAATTTGCTTCTCACAGATTTTAGTGGCGCTGACAAGACACTAAAAAAAGAGGCGCTTGACTCGTGACAATACTTAAAAGCTCTCCTAGAGTGAAAAAAAAATCGTTGGGTAAGATTCCAGAGTGAATACGAGTGCATGTGCGAGAAGTTGTGCATTTCATTCAGGTTCACTAGCTTCTGCATTTTGTCTCTCTTCTAGCAATTTCCTATCCACAACCTTAAAAAATAATAATAATAATACCTTCACATACCTTAACACCTTCACATTCAGGCAACATTCTTAATGTCCTAACCCTATGATTACAATCACTGGAATGAGCCTCGTTGCTGAGGGACCGGAAAGGCCACTCAGTATCTAACCACATGTGGAAAGCGCGCTCTTCCTCGTATAGGAAACAAAGGCGTAAGAACAACTGAGATGCTACAAGCGTACAATAAATTAATCTTTTGGACCCGAATAAAGAAAACCAAGTAGCGAAGGAATCATGGTCCTCCAGTTTGGCTGTTCAATCAAGTGCGATTTTTGTAGCTACGAATAAAAAAAATAGGTCCCATTTGTCTGATTTGCTCTTATCTCTATGCCAACTGTCATGGGTGTGACATGTGAATGGGCTGGGCCGGGCCGGTATCGAAACTGATCTCTCATTCCTCTGATTTGAGATAATATCGAGTTTCAAAAACAGAGTTATCAAAGACCCATACCTGCCAAACCCATTGCTGAGTTGGAGAATCGATATTGCATCTCTGCATAAAGACAAAGCCAGAACCATCCGGTTCAGCTGATAGGCATTGTCTTGACACCTAAATTGAATTAACAATAATACAATAGAGATCAAAGAACCACTCGTAATAAATGCACTTACCGGATGGAAAATTTGTCCGGTATCAACATAGTATTTGAAGAGCTGGTTCCCTTTCATACTATGGCTGAAAATGCAGTATGTGCTATCCATCTACAAATTAAATTGAGCTATGAATACCAACCAGTCGAACAAAACAACAGGAGCTTTGTCCTCTGACGTTGATGCATCAAAGCATACAGAACGCCCGAATGGGCGAATATCATGCCACCGAGTTAGTCGGATATTCTAGAAAGGGATTTTCATGATAGGATAGCCAATTTGTTAGCAGCCCATTTGAATATGGAATCAATGTACCTGTTCACCTCCCAACTCGGGTTTATCGCTCATACATTTTCGCAATCCAAATCGTTGATTTGCTAATTTAAATTGAGTGTCTACACACAGGCCTGCTCCTTTGTTACGCAATTCCCCTATAAAACCATCCGTGAATCAGAGAGCAAATTAAGTCACCAGGATGGAACATGAAGTTCAAGGAAGTGCGAAGGAGCTACATGAGAAAAGAAGGGTCGCACTGTTTGTTTGTATGGTGCATCAAGAATGGCATTGCAGTTAAAAGTAAGTAAACCACACAGGCAACATTAAAGGCGTTTTCAAGGAACTAACCGCTGGCAGAGGGCTCTGGCTCCACAACCGGGTAATATTTATCTTGATCAAATGCCACTTCCTTCATGAACCAATCGAACGATTTGCATTTGAGTCGCTCTCGTACAGCTTTTTGCCGAGAAATATCACCTAAATGATAAGGGATCAATAAAAGTTGAAAAAGGAGAGATGTAGTTTCAATACCTGTGTCTACAGTTCCGACTCCGGCACGATGTTTATACAAATTGTACTTGTACTCATCCATCCACACCTGAAAAAGAACCTTACTATTTAAGAAATAGGTCAAGTTGATCAAAACATAACAAAAACAGTGTATAACACACCTCTGCGACCCTTTTGTAGTTCCTGCTTATAAAATCGCCCACTCCAGCATTTTTGAAGGGCATATATTTACAACGATAAATATGTCCTACACGAGAACATGGAGCATCCACCATACGTCCATGACATTGCCACACCTTGAAAGCTAGCTGCTTTCAGGAAGAAAAAAGATACTTGAAGGTTGGTAGAATGATACTTCACCTTAAAACTCAGCTCGTACTGCTCGCCACCCCAAATATCGAGACCATCATCATAACCACCAAGTTCCCAAAACCATTTTGCCGATATTGCGAAATAACCGCCAGCCATTACAGGGCTTGGAAATGGCTTTGTGGGATTCTCACGATCTTTCTTCGTAAGCGGTAATCGCTTATAGTTGAATGACCAGTCGAACGAGCCTACAAAGAAGACTTTATTGAAACAGCCACGGTCGACATGATAGAATGTGAAAAACGTTTGAGTTCAATGTTGACGGCAATAATTCATGAAGGTGCATCACAGGTGAAGGAAAGCAATGAAATCAAAAGTTAGCTCACCTCGTGCTCCCTCATCTTGAGGACGGATTTCATAAGTGTCACAGTCAATCACGTCAACAAAGGGACATACGACTGTTCTAAACACAGACTATGTTTTAGCTGCTAGTACATATGGAATAGGTGTAGTATACAAGCCAAATGGAAAAATGCCGTCGCTGCATATTTCACATATGGTCAAGTGAACCCAGCTCTTTTCTTCCAACCACGGTGGTACAATCTTTTGCGGATCCCCGCTTAGGCACATGAGGGTTATCATATTGATGTGCCACCAACCTCTGAACCGTACACACCACCGAAAAGCCTACTAAATGAAAAAACAATGCCTTCCCTCTCATGACGGCTAACTGCGAATTTCCAGCCACATAGCTCGACTGGAAAACGCATCACCTTACGGTCTGTCTCAATTTTCTGGAACCCTGAATCCTATCTCATTCTTCCCCACACCAAGTTACCTCAACACTCGAAACTGCATCTTTCCTGACACCTTCAATTTTTTTGGAAGAGGGAAGTGAAAAACATGAAGAACGAAGTCATAGGCAGATCACAAACCTGTAGTCTTCAACTATAGGATCGATCAATGGAGGCAACCAATTGTAGTTTGCTTCCGAATGAGAATCCAAAAAAACAAGAATTTCTCCAGTCGCTTTTTCTGCACCAAGTTGGCGTGCACGAATGAGTCCTTCTCGTTTTCTGGAAGTTAATGTTGAACAATGCGTTAAATGCTAATAATAATTTTATCTTCGCGTCATCACGCTTTGTATTTCGAATTTGTATAGCTTTCGGGGAAGCAGAAAAAGTCTCAGGACAGGGACAAACTCTAAGCTCTTGGAACATTTCACTGCTCGAGAGAACCGATGAGAGTGATTATAAAAATTCCAGGGCATGGTCTATGAGAGAAATGATGTCTACTGCCACCTTGCCGTCGGAACTGATTAAATCATTGAATGTCAAGAGCGACAGCATACACTTCTCAAACAAAATGAATGTGGGGTGAATAAAAATAATGCAAATAAGAGTGAAAAAAGTAAAATTAGCTCAAATGCTGTGGACTTACTTTGTCCGGAGCACTTTGACGAGGTGATCAATCTTCTCACGTCTCAGGAAGTCCTCGAGAGGTTTCTTCAAAAATGGCTTTTCACTGAAGTCATCCACTAGTATAATCTCCTTCAACAGTTCTTTGGGAGACCTGTTCATGATGGAATAGACAGAACGCAGGAGGGTAGAATTGTGCTGAAATAAGGAATGTAAAAAATAAATTGGTGAACCACTAGCTTTACTACCAAAGGCCGATGTTGTAAGGTGAGGGCAAAGCAGGCATACCTCCTCATGCATAGGGAATATCACAGAGACCATTGGGAGTTTAGAATGATATTCCATTTGTTTGCACTGAGGATGACGGATGTCCTTCATAGAACGATTCAATGAAATAAGATCGGAGACGTACGCATTGTAGCCATTCGCTTTGTATAACGCCAACTAAACAGCAATTTTCATCGAATAGGTTACAGGCTATCATAGCATCTCTCATAGTTCTTACAGATTCCCGTTCGACATCAGGGTCCTTTGGCAGGGTAACAGGCTTTCCTTGCTCGCCCGGACCGACTCGAAGCAAGTCACTCTCGTACTCCGCACGATTTTCCCAGTTCTTAAAACAAGATATGGAAAGTAAGCTGGAAAGTAAGCAACAAAACATCATAAGGATTGTGTGCACAGACTTGATTCATCGCTCAGTACCTGCAGCGCTGTAAATTTGGACGCTTCATGCTTTACCAATGCCAATGATCGAGTGCCTATCCCTTCTACTAACAGAAGAACTAAAGGGGAACCACTCTGAAACCGGATTCCCCCTCCGCTATTAACTATTATTGATAGCAGTGTTTTCCCAATCCTTATGCTTTTTCAGTTGAGGACAAAAAAAGAGTGCAGCTAACACTTCGAAAAAAAAAAGAGATAGAGGAAAATTTGAATGAATAAAAGGTGTGAAGGAAGGAAAATAGAACGCAGATAAAATTGGATGCCTAGCAGAAAAATACACCAGTTTCGTTGTACCAAAATTTGGAAACCCATTTCACTTACAGAGGACACCCTTGTACTATGATCGGGGCCAATTCAGACACGCTCAAATCTTCTTAAACGGTTACCAAAAAGATATGAATATTACTGTACCGAGTCTTCATCTCAATACAGAGAATGAAGAAAACCTGTAATTTGCCCAAGCAAAGACTGATCCCCATTCATAAACTAGGACAACTTAGCCATTTGATTCTATGTGTGGAAAAGTAAATAAAAAAAGCGTCGCGAAAGAAAAAACAAATTCACTTTCATTTTTATACAGTAGGTTTTATGAAGGAAATGAATAAGATAATTCTTGAACAACCCACTTTTTTCGGCTCATTTCGATACTTTTCAAACGGATCTATTCCATCGGATTGCTCCGGAGCCACTCTTGCAGCACCACCGGGAACTTCGACTGCGATTCCTGAACCCAGCCCATTACACACCTGCCTTTGTACAAATATACGATATTGAACTCACTGTCTCCTCGACCAATTAATCTGGATGCACTTATCCGGGGGGTAGATGGGGCAAGTAAAGCACCATATAGAATGTAGACAAAGCCAGCAAATAAAATATATCTAAGTATCGTTACATATCGCCGACTAACATATCGGCTTATACCCATTCCTAAAATCCGTGCGAAATAAGTCACAGCAAAGAAAACATACAATCATACAGTGTCACTCCATTCTGGGGCCATTTGCTGTGAAAACCTCATGTGACGCGCGGAAAATTCGCTCTGCGACTCAAACGCGCGTATTCAGGGACCCCTTATGGATGTTCCCAGGTACAGTACCGGTCAGTGAAGTATACGTTTCCAAGTTTTCAAATGAAGCTTCCGCACTTTTCAACCATTCTGCGGGAAACCTTAACAGTAGGTCACTCAAACGGTTAATAACATTATACTTGTGCAGCAGAGCGTAAGGCCATCTTAAGAGGCAATTCTAAGTTTTTGCTGTCCGGCAAGGATGAAATCGTGTTTGTGTGACGTCCAATCGGTACAAGATGTCATGCAAGTTACCATCTGCCAACCGTGAAATATGGAGGGGTACGGTGACGGTTCACGGCAGCTTCTGTGGCAAAGGAGTGTGCCCCCTCTGAAGAAGCGAGAGCAAGAAGGATTCAAAGTTAGGCACCGATATTATGGAGGTTGCTGTCTACCCATTTGCTCGCAGTACTGGCCCCGGTGTCTTCATTTTCCAGCAGGACCATGATCCATGAGCACAAATCGAAGCTGGCTCACCAACTGATGCCGCTCTGCTACCGTGGCCATTGCGATCCTCAAATCTGAGTCCCTAAGAATATCTGGAGGATTGGCTCGAGTGTCAAGTTCAAAGCCTCAGGGCCCAAGTGGAACATGGCAAGCTCCTCAACTGGAGAACGGATGGGAGAACATCTTTCAGGAACGGATCGACAAACTCATCGAGTCCATGCCACGCCGTTTCAAGCGGTTATTGATTCCAAAGGTTATGCTACGAAGCATTGATGTCTTACTTGCTATATTTGCTCTTATGCAAGTTGTTGAGTTGAGAAATGGAAAATTAAGACAGACTGAAGTTTCATTGTTATTACGGGGCTTAACCTTTCCTTGACTAAAGCCTTCCAAAATATTCCGCAATTAACTTAGGCGGAAAACTTGCTCTCTGACCACAGTCATTGAAGGCATTCACAGTGGAGAAACCAGATGTAAAGAGCTGTTTCAAAGAAATTACGTTTGAAAAATGAAAACGCATACTTAACTGACCGGTACTGTATTTTAGAAAGTGCTACTCTGTATTAGCTGATCTTGCATATGAAAGACGAGCATTGAGGTTCAGTGCCTACTAGACCATCCAGCCAAAGCAAACTTGGTCAGCACTAACTCAGCAACGCTACACTTCACAAACGAGTATAAAAACGAGTTTCTCCTGAACAAACGAATTCCTACGAAAATAAGCATCGAAAAGTGATAGGTTACGATGAACGAAAAAAGAGATAGAAAACGCTGAGATAAAGTGGAAAAAATAGCAACATAAAATGAGGCAATTTTCGGTCAATTACGTTACCACTACATTATCACAGAAGCGGAAAACCCTTCGTCAACACGAACTGAGATCAGACTAACGAACAGGACCGTTTTGCAGCCCTTTACTAGGATGATTCAAGGGAAGACCACCCAGTGAAGCTCCAGGCTCCCAGCTCGCAGTACCGTATAAAGGGTCGAGAGTCGGTAGTCAATATAGGTATCGGCTCTCATCATAGCGCTGAAGTGTAGGCTATACAATGCCCCATTGATAACCCCATTCCACTTAGTTACCATCTATCCATTAACAAATCAAGTAGTCGTTCCACTAAAGAAAAAGATTAGCTATGATTAATCGTTCAATCACGCCACAAATCGATATTAATTACTATCAGTTGATTGGAATTACCGTCACCTACGCTACGATCCATGGTGTATAGGCACAACCACTTATATCACTAACTTTTGAGTTTTTACCTGAGATTTTACTCCTTTTTTACTATTACTACAACTACTTTACCTTTTACGCTTCAGTATCTCAGATTATTGTTTCTCCCACTACTACCATTATCATAATCATGGAAAGTTTTGCGAACAGGCAGACATACAAAGAAGCATAAAGACCGACATAACGGCTATCAAACCAACAACCAACCAATCATCAATTTACCAAGTTTATTTAAATCTGGGAAACAAGCTGGAAAACGATATGATGCCGTTGATTCAGGCAATCTTCGATCGATTCAAGATTATCAACATACATTAAAAAGATGATCAAAAAAGTGGGTCAGATGAAGTCAAATTAAATATAGCTGCCTAGATGGAGGCGGAGAATTCTTTCGTGGTTTCGGAGGAGAAACATGCGTGCGATTATAAGGAAGTACACACTGATGGCAAAGAAAAACAGCTGTAACTTTAATAATGTGGTACATATGATAATACTATAATACTACTCAGAATGATCTCATGATTGGCACATAAAAGTGTGATCGTACGGAACTATTTTATGTACACCGTACAGATCTGCAGCTTATGAAGGTTCAAGAATCATCATGAACTGTGGCCTTGGTTGAAGCATGTATATGCCAGTACCAATCTGCCGTTGGATAGATATCACTTTGGATCATAAAAGAGAAAGCTAAACAACGTCGATTTACCAAAAATTATCGAGAAAATAAACTCGCTCTTTAGATGAACTACACCATCCGATTAATGAGCATCATGTAACACAGATAGCGCACATGCCGAGGAAAAAAGTCCAACAATAATCGTAACTGACAACTCCTAAATATCGTGAAACAATTCTTACTAAATCCTCAAGTAATGCCGTAATGTATGACCTATTAGTGTAAAAAAATAAATTTTTTATAAGACCTATTAATGAAACACTCACATTGATATCACGACCGACTTTATGCATTCAAGAGACGAATTTTAAAAAGAAAATACCGACGGTCGGAGTTGATTTGACTGCAGTTGTCCGACTAACTAATACATCAGAATACCATAATTCCATGAGCGCTGAGACACCGCTGATTTCAAGTCAGATTTACTTATTCGTCGGGATTTGGGGAGGCTGCACAGCATCCAACACCTCGACAACGAACCTGGCCATACTGAACTGCTTTTCATTTCTAGCAGAGTCAAGGAAAGGCATCGCTAAGAGCTCGGGATATTTCGGACGTTCGTGAGGGTTCTTCTCCAAGCAACGTTGTACAAAATATTGACAATCGGCAGAGAATGAGCCATCAGAAGGCAGCCGAGGAGCTGGTTCTTCAATGACCTGTTTCAACTGCTGGAAAGGTGTCACCCATACTTCATATGGATATTTCCCAGTAGCAATTTCCACCAGAGTGATTCCGAGGCTCCACACGTCAGCTCTTACGTCATATGAACCTTTCATGTCACCGTCGATTCGCTCAGGTGGCATATAAAATTTACAACCAGCAGCAACGGTCTTTGCTAAACTGTTTGCGAGATGACCTGATATGCCAAAGTCGCATATTTTCACCTGCCCATGCCGATTGAGCAGTATATTTGACGGTTTCACATCACGATGGATCAAATTCATATCCTCTTTCATAAAATTAAGGCCTTCAACAACCGACAACGTCACCTTCGCTAGAAAAGGTTCAGGAAGTCTTCGTCCGAGAGCATAACACTTCTTATAAAATTTGTCAAGCGAAGTGTCCATCACTTCCATGCATATCCAAACATCCCCTTCGCGAAACATAGCTCCGTAGAAACGCACCATTTGAGGGCAGCAATCACTCCGTTTACAAGCGTCGAGTTCGGTTAACATACGTTTCTGGGATTCATCGTGGATCGAGGAGGGAATTCGCTTCACGGCCATTGTAATTCCCGACTGCCGATGGCGCATCTTTTCCACAACTCCATAGCCACCTTTTCCTAACTCCTCAAGAACCTCTAGATCCTTCGCTGCAATTTCGATTTCCTCCGACTCATTGGTCAGCTTAATTTTGCATTTGTCGTCTAGGTTCAAATTCGGTGTCTCCCGCGGCTTCGGCATTTCAAGTTTGAATCGATTTCTCACTCCAGACATCGCGATGACCATGGAATAGCTATCATCAATACCTAAAACTTGGGTAATTAAACTAACTGGGTAACTAAATTAATTAAAATTAATTAATTCACTGCTTTATATATATGACCAGTCGGATCGCCCGGCTAACGCCGTCCCTAATCCCTTACTTTTACAAAGTAGTCAGAAAATGGAGTGAGGGGGGGGGGGGGGGGGCTTTAATCAACACTGAGGGCTTGAGTGCAGAGGAGGGGTAGCCGACCTTAAGGGTTGCTGGGAGTCAGTTCTAGGCGGAAAAAAAATTTTTATTATACCTAAGCCTCAGGAGAAGAGCGTTGGGATGAGGGCGAGATCACAGTCTTGAAGTATCCACCTCATTCCACATCACTCACTTCACTCCGCAGTACTCACTTTACTCCATTAATCTACTCCCAAGATACCGCTTTATATATAAAAATGAAATATATGATAGAGCTGGGTTGTCCATATCACTGCCTTTATCATAACCATAAGTTTCACGAAAGCACGGACAGACAAACACACAAACTGACATACCGACAAACCGACACACCAAGTTACTGCTTCTAAACAAGGGACAGGAGACAGGAAAGATAAGATAGATGAAAGATGATATGACATTGGAGCTTTACTGAAGGTGAAATAGGTCGGAGTGAAGCTCAAAATGAGGGCAGAAGAAACTAGATGAATGCTACGTTCATGGTGCATTGATTAGATAACAACCGCTCCAACCGCTTACAGTATTTGTTCACATCGAGCTTCCACAAGTAGGCCGATGGAATTTGCTATAGAGTACATATATATAGAATAGGTATCTCTAAGTGAAGCAATGGCATAATGTATGGAGAACAGTGACTGTTCATGGGCCGGTCAACCCGAGGTAGTGATCAGTTAAAGGATAGGTAAAGGGTGGGGGAATAGAAGACAGAGGCATATATACGTAGCGGCGGAGTATGGCCGGAGCAGTGATTGCCATGCCGTCGTACTGTTCGGGTAATTTCACGCGTTTTCAGCATTTCAGCATTTCATTTCAATCTGATGGGGAGACAAGGAGAGGGTTTGTCTGGGAGGGGGAAGAAGTGTGAAAGTGGTCGCTATCTGGAACACTTTACGCTACGGTAACGTGACGGCGTTTTCATTTTCTTCTGCAGCCGCACCGCTACAGTTTTTCTTTCCCGGCTAGTGCCGATAAAATCATATGTTTTCTGCTGTTTAAGAGAACGGTGCGCAAGACTGACCTTTACGGAACGAAAATTTAGCATGGCAACCCGGTTCTCACAGTAACCCACTTGTAGATATGAGCTCGATCTGCGTCCGCTGTATATTACTATTCCGAGTAAAAAATTCCCACCAAAGATAATATCGCAGTGTGGTAGAGACACGAAAAAAGGTTTTACCCCATCTCATTCTGCCATTTTTGAAAATAAAACAGCACTGGAAGAAATAACTGACAAAGTTACTATGATCATTTGGTTTTGAAGCCCAACAATGCCTACTAAAGAGTAAACAACCCAAAAACGAAGACGCGCATAGCCTCCTATAGCGATTAACCTAAAAATAATCCAATTGCAAATTGCAAAAGGGGTCATCCCGTATGGCTTCAGTATTCGATTTCGACTTTCTTAACCTCCTTGCCTCAATAATGGGAACTCATTCAATCGGGAAAACACAACAATTGATTTTTCCTACGACGGACTGTAATAGAAGAGTAGTACCAAGAGATCAAAAATCGTGGCCTAGAAATTTCAAAGAGCTTTTTAAACAAAAAAAATCAAAAAGAAACTTATGAACTAAAGCCTTTTGCTCGCATTTCACGATCGAGAAATAAAGAAGCACCGTCTGATTCTTAATGAAAATCTTTCATATTTTCTAATGCCACTTAATCAAGAAAAAATTCTTCAAAAGTTTGGGAGGAATGATCACAAACGTTCTCAGCAAGTAATTAACACCAAATAAATGCTGACTGAGCGCTATTCGCCTCATTGTAGTGGAAAGTGAATGGGGTAATGATGGTGGATCACGTTTGAGGTCACCAACCGCAGACAATGGCGCTATTCCCATTGTCTGCGTTTTTTAGAACTGTATAACAATGAGTATGAAGCGCTTCTGCAATCCTACGATTCCGTGCAAACAGCTCGAGGATTCGTTTCTAGGAAGAAAATAACTAACCTCACTTTAACTAAATTGTAATTGAATTTTCAAATCACAAATACGGCCTTCATTTGCTGCATTTCTTTCGCCAAGTTTGTTGAACAGTTCATGGGAGGATTTATTCTGCGTCCTTAGCTGCAATATCCCACACTTTTTCGTGTTAAACTCATCTAGGTAACGTGATATACGCTTATACGCAGATTTTAATATTATCCAAGAAATACTTCCAGCTAATTCCAAACAGCGCCGACGCCAAAAACGTATATCGTATTCGTGATCGCTACTGTAAATTACTCCTCGAGGTTCTAGCTGGGACATTTTTCTCCCAGTGGACTGGAACAGAAGAACATTACAAAAGTATCGGAAATCGTTACTCAGGGATTCGAACCACGACCTTAGCTCTTATCAAGGCGACTTTTAATCGAAACCTATTTGAAGAACTCCTAAAAACCAGGACAAAACCAAGAAGAATTCCGTAAAATAAAGACATTTTGCTCACATTTCACGGCCGAGAAAGGCGAGCTCCGCCTGCACTTTGTTATTCCGCCATGTAATAGAAAAACAAAAATCATGTCATAAACGTAGGAGAAACGCTATATTCCGAGACGTACGATTTAATTAATTCTGGCTTCATGAAAAAGAAGAACTACACTTTACACTACATGGGTAGTAGAGGCATTTCGTATCTCCCATTAGGATGTAAAAGGAGAAAAATCAATCCACTGGAACTCGCTCCAAGTTACCCCGATCGTCCGCCCATTGAAGAACTAGTATTCTCTGGAGAAATCGCTACTAAAAGTGAGTGAATCCTTAGGAACTTGCTGCTAAAAGTGGGAAATCGAAAAATTGCGAGCTACTTAAAGTTCATTTTGTGCAGCAATTGCAGCCATTTAGTGCCCACCCAAATACAGACATGATATAAAGAACGGTGGCGAATTCATGGGAATAAACTGAGTGAATAATGGGCCCGGCAATTGGGAAGCACGAAACACCAATTTCTCGTTGAACACTGAATAGGAATGTGTGTGGGACGGCCCGAAAGGCAAATGCCACGTAGCCCAACAATGCGGTAATATTAGCGGCAACGAACCGCGTCTGGATACACAAACCATTGAAACTGAATTCCCCACAAAGTGAGCGAACGGGCGTTTTCTTTACCAATGAGTTGTACATGACAACAATGAAGGACAATTTTTGCTAAATAGTACAGTCAGTTGAATACTTTGTTAAGAAAATCAGAAGTTTTATAAACAATACTTTATTACCAACCAACATCTGTACTGTCAGCAGAGTAATTTGCAACAAAAATAAACAACAGAACAGCTTAAGCTTTGTAACCACGAGAAGCTCTTCGTCCACGTGCACGTTCGAACTTGCGTCCCTTTGATCGGACGTACGGCTTCGTGTGACTATGCGGAACTCCTGGAGCAAGGCCGAAGTGCTTCTGAGCTTCACGAGCTTTGCGGGGACCCTAAAACAGAATATTGCCAGAAGCAGCTACCAATGTCGAAGACATGGACTTTGGGAAATAGGCACTTAAATAAAAATTCCAAATTTACTTGTGCAACGGAAGGCTCTGGCAATGCAAGTGAACCTATGAAAGGGGAAATGTTTCAGTTCAACGGCAAGGACGGGTATCTCGGCCCTTTTCGGAAGAACTCCATTCGAAAGCTATACGTCTAAATAATGAGCAAGAGCACGGGTACAGAACATTTACAATCGTATGAGCGCGATATTCCAAATTCAGGTTCTTCTTCGTCAAGCTCAAGGTTCAGCGTCACTTTCAACAACTGAGTCGCAGTTTCAAGATAGCGCAGCCAATAGAAATGAGGTTATAGAGCCGTTGCCTATGAAAACTGGATTTAACGCCTTCCTTTCGCCCAAATGAAAAATGATTAGAGTGAGCCTTAACTTCAAAAGACGTTTGACTTTTGACATATTTAGGAGGGCGAACCCACCACTCCAATAAAAAATTTTAGCAACTTCAAAACCGTGATACATGGGTCCTTGTACAGCCTTAGATTTACTTTTTTATGCTTTCAAAAAAGATTTTTCGCGAAAAGAATTTTCTTATGCCTCGCTGATGTTCCCGCGCCGAAGATTACGAGGCCACTGTAACATACGAAGTCACATAGATTCAATTTGCTCAATTATGGGAAATGGCTCGAAGAAGGTAAGAAAGCACGCAAGAAGTAAGAGCGAATGTATCCAAGACGTTTCTTTGAAAGACCGGAGCAAAAGACGCAGCAATTAATGTTTAAATCAAAATATTGTAAGAACAATAATATTTGCTGATGCTAATCGCACCTTGTTTAGTGGGAGTTCTGAGTTGTCTTAGACGTGTGCCAGCGACATTTTCATCCTATGAGAATAAAAAGCCTTCACACAGGACTTTCTCTGCTATCGAGGAAGCACGGGAACTCGGGAAAGAGAACTCATTTCGGCATATTACCCGCAACTTCAGGGCTTTATGCTGTTTCTACCGATGATGGAGACATATATACAATGTTACCATAAAGAAAAATGCATTGGTAACAAAAAATTATAAATCTGAGATATTAACTTTGAACTGATGAGAATTCGCAAAACTCACCTGGATCAGTAGAGTGTTCTCACCCTTAGGAGCACGGAGAGCAAGCTGGTCGAGAGTGATTATTTCTCCTCCAGCCTTCAGAATGCGGGCACGGGCCGATTCAGTGACTTTCAGTGCAGCGAGCTGAAATTTGATACACGTAAAATAAAATTCCGGGTTTTAACCCACACCAAATGAGCCAAGGGTCTAGACGAATTGAAACAACACAAAACAAAACAAGCCGGTGTAATTAATATCACAAATTTCTAAGTTCCATGTCATTTTTTCAGCGACTCTGCTCCGGCTATCATCAACTCAGCAGGATTGCACTTTCACTGATGTACGGCTTCCGTCAATGGCTGGTTTCAGAAAAAGTAAGGGTCAACAAAGTTCGCTCCTCAACCTTGCTATAGTTCTCCTTTCTAAAATTGCTGCTCTGTAACGCTCTTTGGCATGATTGAATCAACATTCTCTACTTCTTACTACTCTCGCTTACCGTTTACCTTATAACTGAATGGGTTCCCTTTCTGCTGTTAAACATCACTGTTATGTGAGCTGAGTACACATTTCTCGAGTCACAACCCTCACAATTTTTTTTATCTGATGCACCATTCTCATCGCTGTTTGCCTTCTTATCGTTTCGCTAAGAGCTATATTTATGACCACAAAAACGCCTCATTCTAGCAGATAGGTTGAAGCACAGAAAAATTGCGTTTCATCAAAGCGACGCCAAGTAATTTCCGCTATCGTTCGTTGTTGGTTGGACAACCAACCACCCCTCGAGGGTTTCCCGGGTTCCAGTGCAAACAGAATACTAAGAACAAAATTTTTTTCCTAATATGAAAACTAATGTGCTGGGAATTGCAAACTGCACAAAGTTGGGATCAACCAATAAGAAATCGCGGAGAAAACTTGTTTAGCATTCCGTTCAAAGAAAAAATAACGAGGAAACATAGAAGTATTAATAAAAATCAATGCTTGATGGAACAGAGGTATAAAAAAGAAAATCGAAGGGAAATCGGACAAACACTCACGGTGAACTTCGGCACTTCATAAAGACGAGCGTCATCTGTGACAGTTCCACATGTGACGACGAGCTTATTCGCATTTCCCTCCTTCTTTAACATTCTGCTAATGCGTGCAATAGAAAGTGGAGCACGGAAGCGTCGTGACATGAAAAGCCTCTTCATAATGATGTTGTTGAACTTCTCGCCGGTACGTCTGGCCAAGAACGTGTACAACTAAACACAGTACACCATTTTTTAGAGCAAAAGAATAAAGCGAGCGGTAGAAACGAACAAAATCACTTCATCAATGCTGAATGAAGAACCATACCTTGGCCAGAATCCTGAGGTAGGGGTCCTCACTTTTGGGGGCAGTCCTGCGGACCTTGCGGTCATGCTTATGGTTGATATCAATACCCTAAAACTTTCGAATTTAACCAATTAATGTTCAAATCAAACATTGCGAGAACAAGTAATGATGAAAGACTTACCATCTTCCTTAGAACACAAGTTCAGGGAGACCCTGGAAAAGAAACGTATACAAAAGCGTCTTGATAAAACAAAGGCCCTAATTATATGGGAGATAAAAGAGATATTCGCTCATACTCTATTCCAAATACTACAGAACTTTAGACAGAATGTTTGTTACAAACAGCACTTGAACATAATTAATGCTCAGCTTTAATGCACATGTGATTGATGCCTAGTTAGTAAGTCAATGAGAACAGACAATAAAAAGAAACGGTTTAAAAATTTAACACAAAACAAGAACTAATGCCGAGTCAATATAAGGATGTTTTAATATAAGCCCTTAGCCCCAGTCATTAGGTAGTGTCGTTATTATTGAACGAAACAGTTACGCGTTGCTATTCTATTCGGTGCATTAGCTCTTGGAAACCAATTTTTTTCGAAACACTTCTTCCACATTATAATGGCTTTATAATGAACAAAAAAACCCGAGACAAAGCCAAGCTCGAATCTATATTCAACAAAATCAGGAGCAATATTTCCACAAACTTCATTCCACCTGCTATAACCCAATAATAAAACTGTACTGAAAGCCGCTAGATGATTATATTACTAGGTCGAACCACAAGTGTAGAACCATAGGAAATATTCAGTGTACAAAACAAGAGAAAACCAAACAAAAGCAGAATAGGAGAGGACTATTAAGAAATGGGTTGTCGACGAGAATGTCGTCGGTTACTGTAGTTGTCGTTGCAGGATCACAACAACATGCTACCTCTACGGCCTTTAGACACTGAGGTTTTCAAGCCGCGAATTGAGCATGCTTTCAAAGAGTTTCGTCGATCGTACTTAGGCAAGGCTTGGGGATGTAGAATTGGTGCTTGAGTGCTGCGGGTTTCAATGAATTTCACTCACTCAGTTCTTCTGATGCTCACTCGTGCTCACAAAGGTAACCAATTTGTTTTGTATATGCACTCCTTCATTCTCATGTTCCCTTCTCTGTTTCAGATCATGCCGTCCTTGCTTAGTAGGAATCTCTGACTTGTTACTGTGTTCTTCATAATGTCATTCCGGGTGGTAAAGGGTAAGTATTATGGTTAATGCGATTTTATGGAGTTCATGGTTTCAGAGTTCATTGCTATTTTCAATTCTCCTTATACCATTAGGGGTATGAATAGGGTTCCCATCTTCCCTCTAGAGCTGCGCTCTGAAACAGGAAGATCTCTTTGATGATCACCATTTAATTCGTGACTAGAAGCAAAACACGCTTTAGACGATTACTGTACTATTATAAATTTCATTGGGGTGTTCTGAGCGAGGGTCACACATCTGTGAGCTGAATATTGGGCAATGTTGTATATGATGAGTTTTGAAGGCAGCCAGGTGGCGGAAAATGGGACAGGAATTCTATGTTAGAAGAACATTGGACAAGAAGCGATGTGAATTTGTCGAGTCATACGTCAGCTCGAGACAGCCGTTTCGAGACATGCATAGGCTCGGACTGCCGCCAGGATTAGCAGCCTGGCCACAACACCTACGAGAAAGCTGTCATCCATCAGGAGACACGATATAAAAGCAGTCGCCTCAGGCATGGAGGTCGTCGTTTCGGATGTCACCTTAGCCGCCAGGTTAACCACCGGCCCTTCGTCAAGCCTACTACTAGTCCTCTTGTCCTGTCATCTCCCCTGCCCCCTTTGTATTGTCCCTTTGTGATTGACTTGTATAATAAATAAATAAATAATTAAATATATATATATATATATATATATATATATATATAAATACATATACTCAACCACAGAAGCATCCCTACGTCCGCTACACATTCAGGTATAGGCCCGATGGACCTATAACGTGATAAATTTGAGAGGGTTATTTTGGTAAAGAGCAAGTAGCGCCGCGCAGTCAGGGTCGTGAGTGTAAGTAGGTATTCACTGTATTACAATAGTTGATAGTTAATGCGAGAGTTATGGTAGAAATTGAGCCGCCATCGAAGGCTGACGGTGTTGCCATAGCCCGCTTTCAGAGGCTACCCTTATTCTCCTCAGAGAATTTGTACTTTGATATGTCGGGATAACGTTTCACCCTATAAATACCCACCAGCTAGGGGATAACTGTTCTTTCCCCGAATTTTCACGGCAAGGGCAGTGGTACTGCAGCAGTTACCGAATACTTCATGACGTGCGACGAGCGCAACGTGATTGTCGCGAAGAAGTTCCCGCACCTCTCGCTGGGTTCCTTTCATCAACAGCAACATGACTAACAGCTCCCTCACGATTGCATTTACCTTTGTAGTTCCACAACAATCTTTCTCGAAAGGGCGCTTCTGTCGGNTACTAGCATTTTACCAAGGAAAAGTGAATGCTAGAAAGCGCATGACTTGCAAAGTTGTATTGAAGTTCTCTTCTGACTTTTGACACAGTTTATTGTTTAGTTAACGAAAGCTGAACATTCTGACTTTGGTTATGGGAGTCGCGATCCGATCCGATAAATGAACTCTTGTCTTCATTTTTTTTGCGAACATAGCGGTTAGTTCAATTTGCTTCGATTTTATTGATCTATCGACTTCCGGATTTGTTAGAATGGGCATTTTTCGTTAGTTATTTCATGATGCATTATTTTTTCTCTACCGATCGCCTCTTTCTGGTTATTCCCTAAGTATTACGTAAGGCTAGAGACGGATTTGATGAAAACAGGGTTTTAATATTTCGAAAGGTGTTTACTTGCTCTCAAAAGGCTTGGTCCTCGTATACTACTGTATTCTTTATTCGGTATATTTTTGTATGATTTTTGCAGGTCCTTCTTTGAAGTATTTTAATTCGACAGTATAGACTTCCATTTGAAAAATTTGTTGGTTTTGGAGATGCATGGTACATTACATGTATAGTAACATAACAGAGCATTTAAATTTGTCGCAGTGGCTGCAAACTTCTCTATACTAAAGCTATTTGGATTTTTACAAATCATACACAAAAGGCGAAGGTCAAGTGAGCGGTGGTCGGTCTGTACAAGAAAGACTTCTAGTACGCTTCGAATTCTGTGAGTTGTCGACGCTGTCATCTGGCGATTCCGGAACAATCTGAAATCGAACCATGTAAGGTGAAGACCGTGATCAACATCTACAGTGTGGTCCCTACCTCTCAGTTGGCGGAAATTACACCACACTTACTCCCAGATGAGGGGTCAGGCGGATTGAGGGATCAAGACCTAGTCATAAATACT